TTTCTTAATTTTGTTTTGAAACTATGTCTTTAAATTGGAATTGTACTTACATATAAGAACTACAAGACATGCAGCATGTAGCATCAAAAGTGACAGGATTTAAAATGACAGAAGCAGAAGGTGGTTTATTATGAAAGACTCAAAGTGCTTGCCCCATCTTGATTTGTAATAGAATAACCAGGTAGGAGGTGGATCCAAACTGACCTTACCTTACTAATTGATAGTTTTCCAACAGCTGTTTTCCAGGAGCCTTTTTTTTGTCTTTCAGTAACGTGTTTTGGTCTCAGTGATGGTGTTCATCTTGTTACTGGTGTTGGATACTTTTTTTTATATGTATTTTTTAAAAACCTATGGGTGAGTTTCATGTCTGGAATCTTTATATTCCATATTAACTGTAACCAAAAGCTTTACTGCCCAGTTCAGTAGGATTTACTTGTATAATAATCTAATGGGTTTGTTTGGTTTTAATTTAAAATGTTGTATGTGACTGTAGGTAATTAAAACATTTCCTGAAAAATAGTGGGTTTGACTGTACTATGCTGGAATTGCCTCTGCTGATCATGAAGAGTTGAATAATAGTCATTTGTCACATAGGGTGTTGACTCAGACACAAATGATTTCAATTCAGATGACAGAGGGTGTTACAAAACCCAGCTGTTGACTCTGCTCCTCTTTCCACAAGTTGCTTTGTCTGTGGCACGAATGGCTGACCTATGAAGCAGTTTTTGACAACCACAGTTTCTGGCCTAGTTTATTCAAGTAAACCAGTGGTGACTTTAAGTTGTTTTAATGCACTGGGTTGGCAGCTCCAGCAGTTTAGGAGCTGTTTCCAGTGTCAGTGCTACGAGGTAGTGGCAGCCTTTGGAGAAGAGCGAAAGCCTGGTAGGATGTTTAAGTTGCCTGTATTAATGCAGAAATTGTCTGTTTGTGATTCACAGCTAACTTGAGAAAGAGTTCTTGCAGCAGTGTGCCAGCACTTGCAGAGCAGTTGCAGACAGCCGCTGGGCAGACACATTTTCTTGGCTCAAAATGATTAATCTCAAGCTAAGGCAATTTTCTCCAAGAGCTTTGGTTGTTAATCAAATCTGTAGAAAAGACAACAAGAAACATCAAAACAGATACTCTTCTTTGAGGTTTCAATTGCACTGGGATTGGAAGAAGACATTTGCATTTTTTTTGAAAGATACATAGTGGGCACAAGAATATGAGCCAAGAAATTTATTGGCCAGGGCTAATTCTACTGAATAAATCAATAAGGTGTTAAATAGGAAGCTATTGAAACAAGACTACCAGGTAGGCTGCTTAGGATGGAAGAAAGAAAATGTGTTTGGGGGGTGGTATTGTTGGGAAGTGTGCCAGTTTTCTTTGCTTTCCCTTCTAGGATAATACCTTGTTGAGCTCACAAGATCCCTCTGGGGATTATGGACTTGGTTGACTTCTCAGTAGAGTCAGAATAGCTAACATTGATAACAGTGGGTGGAAGAGACAGCCCTATTTTAATATGTTAGTATAATCTCAAATGGAGGCTTCTTGTTTATTTGTATCTAGATACTTACATAGTAAGCTTTAGATTTTTGCCCTTCAAACAGAGTTATTTTCCCAAGAAGAACTTAATTTTTTTTTTTTTTGTTTTGATTATGCCTTCATAGCCTTTTTCTGGAGTTAAAAATAGAATACAGGTATCTTCTATCTAATGAACTTGTGGACTAGACGTTTCTGTTGCCTTTTTTCTCCTGTAACAGGATTGAATTCTTGCACTACAGCAACCCTGAAGTCATTACCCTGCACTTAAAACAAAATGCAGAAAGGAATGACCTTTTGCTAGCACTCTGTGTTGTTTATATTGCTAAGCCTGATCACCATCTCCCAGCAAAAGCCAGTTTAATCCTTAAACATTTGTACATATAGTATCTGTTCAGAGTTGTCTATTGTTTGCTGTCTGGTTCTCGTTGATTATAACGTTGTGCATCTCCACAATGCCCCTATTTGCCCCTTGGATCTTGATTGTACAGGGCAGCTCTTATCTTCCTTGCTGATAGCATATCACCAATGGTACCAGTTAAGAGCTGAAAACACTTGTAGCATAATGGAAAGTTCCACTTTTGCCAGGATGACTCATTAATTAACCTCGGGATGGAGAGGCTTCCTGTGCCAACTTAAGAAAAAGTTACGGGAAGATACTCTTCTATATAAAAAGATAAATGATTGGAAGAGTTTTGTCAGCCTTGTAGGAATTATGTTTTTTAATACTCTCAATCTACCTGAAACAAGCTTGGAAACTCACTGAAATAGATACTTTGGAAATAGTTTATATCTTGCTTTGCTTTAGGAGTGGACAGAAAACTGCTAAGAAGAATGGACTGGTACTAGCAGTGTTGGAGGCAAGCAGTACATCCAGGATGCATTAAATATCTTTTCTTTCCAACTGGCCACAAGCTTTTGGCTTTAGGTCACTGTTCAAATGTAGCTACCAAGTTGACCACTTGGGAGGAAAGGAAAGGAAGAAAATAGTCTTGGTTTTGGGTGGTGTCAGGGATAGGAAGGGCTCTTGGGACTGTGAAGAGGCCAGGGAGGATTTTGGCTGCTGTGCAGAATGCCCTCGTGTGCCTGTCAGGCATTGCTAAAAGTGCGTGGGTGGCTGGGGTACAGTTTCACTGTCCCAGCCTGGTGTGGATGGAATGTCTGTAACTCAGGACTTCAGCAAATTTGTCCTGTGGACTTCAAGGAATCCTGTGATGCTCTCATAGTGCTAAGGGCATGATTTAGTTTTTGTCAAGAAATCTTTGCCAGATCTGTAAGATAAAGCATTGTGTGTCTGTAGCAGCCTTGAACCAAGCAGAATGGTCTCTGCATAAAGACATATGATGGATGTAAAGATCTCCAGTGAGGAGCTGTAACTAGGCCTGGGAGTGAGAAAGAAGCTCCAGAATTTGACTTTTAACTGCCAGTAGTTTCTGAGATAGAAAGAGCTTTTGCTGCAGAAATCTTCTCCCTTCAGAATAGGGAAGCAGTATAAAAAGGGAAGATGCTTCATTTAAGCTAAAAGTGTGGCTTGGATTTGATCTATTAACATTTGGGCATTTCAGGCTTGACAAGTGGCTATAAAATACCAAAATACAGATATTTTTAATCTCCAGTGGAGCTGCTTCATTGATTCCCCTCACATGCACACATGTGCAGGGGTGACTTCTGCTTTTTGCCCCAAGGAGTGTCTGTTTACCCAAAATACAAAAGGTTAGACAGACTTGTTACCTAATTGTCTCTTTTTGGCTGGTTATCTCCGTCTGCTGTCTGTCTAGGAGGAAAAACAGGTGCTGAGCTGTGACAGGCTTTGTAACCATGCAGAGTAAATTGAGGGGGCATGAAGCAGAAAGGAATATAACTTTGTACTAGAGACTGCAAGCAAAAAGAGATGAGGAGACTAATTTTGTTAAGAAAATGAGCATGCCAAGTAAAACACAGGTTCAAACCATTTGTTCCCTTGAGAAGCTTTACGATCTAAATTTGACATAGACTGTAGCAAATATCCAAAGAACTGCCATATGGAGGAATAGCAGCTTGCCTTAAGATCATACACTTAAGAGCTTACTTTCTAAATTTCTATTGAGCAATGTCTCAATTCAGCAGCAGAAAAAGGGTGCTTCATGAGGGAACTTGAGTGAGAGAGGAATGGTGGGACATTTCTGAGTAGATCTTGCAGGTGCAAAAAGGAAAGGTTGGGAAGAGCTGTCTGTAGTGGGGAGCGAGACATGAATCCAGGTGTAAACAAAAGTATTTCAGTTTGTTACTCAATGGTGAAGTTACTGCTGCAACTTACTAAATCAAATATTTTCAACATTTCACCAAAGAAATGTCCAGTACAAGGAAGGGTAAATAACATTGACTTTTTTTTTACTTAAGAAAAATTTTTAAAAAGTTGGACAGGAATGGAATTATCAACTGCAGTTCTGTACACAATATGGAGTAGATGTCAGCAATACTCTGGCTTGTTGTGCTACACCCTTTTTCTTTTCCCTTGCCTCAAATGAGAGCTTAAGCATTAGAACAGAAACCATGCAGAATCCAAGCTATGTAGTTTCTCAGTGAGGCAAGGTGCTATCCTGATGTTCCTGGTGTGTTGTCTCTACATCAGTAGCTACCAATGCTTCTCCCAGACTGCAGAGATCACTGGGAGCTGCTTCCTCTCAGGAGACCGGAGCTGCCAAGGCTCAGTCCTGTTGCACACTGTTCAAAATCAGTCCACTTAGCACCTTTGACTTAGAGCCCTGAGGGGCTGACACCCACTGGAAGGTGACCTGGAAAGCCCTACAGGAACAATGTAGCTATCCATACAGGAGAAGCTGATAGAAAGTATTTTCAGCTTCCAGATCTTTATGAGGATTTTCCTGAATCGAGTGCTGGGGTTTTTGACATCAAGAGTGTGATAAGCAGAGAATTGGATCTGTAATGGCAGAAGATTGCAGGCATTAAACTGTGAAGTCTGAAAGCGCATAAGGGGAAAGTAACCATCTCGAAGGTAGTGGAGACTACATGCCCACAATGCTGCTTTTGTTTTAAATAAAGTCATCTCACCTCAACTCCACAATAAAGCACAGGACGAACAATGAGAATATGTTGGGGGAGGGAAAGAGAATGATGGGGGAAATAAAAGTCATCTGTACAGAATGTAACCACTCAGGATCACACAACCCTGCTCTTTTAAACAAATGTTGATTTTAGCTCTCTGATTATGGATTTGGAGAGAAAAAAATCCCTGAAATTCTATCTCGTTTGAAGTTACTGGGGAAAATGCTGTTGCTGGATTCTCAGTACTTCAAACAAATCATGGATATTGATACTTTGAATATTTCATGTGGTGACACATGAAATATTGATAGATAAATATAATATTATATTAGATAAACTCCGGTGTCTCAGCTCTGCTATGTTATTGTGTATAAACTCATGAGCTGTTTTTTCATTTAGTTGGGACATATGTGAACAGCTCTTCACCTTTGTAGGAAACAATTTCACGTCCTTCTGCCTTCACAATTTTGGATGCAGTCTGAGAAGAATGAAGAAGAGGCGCCTTCTCTTCACTGGGGGTTGGATCCTGTATTTTCTGCGTTTGCAAGACTCTATATTAAAGATATTACAGAAATGAGAGAATCTAAACAGGTGCCAGGTATGTATTTGTATGTGCTGATTATGATGCACACAGTATTATAAGTGATTTATGTTGTGCTTTTTCTCAAGGGATTGAAGAATACTTCACAAACAGCCGTAGTTTTAAGTAGTTTTAGTACTAAGTGGAAAGCTACTAAGTTTAAGCTAAGTGATGTTACTGCCTTTTAATAGTTCCAAGAACAACAGGTTGTATGTGAAATGTATCTGAAAAATAAAATATATTTGTTAAAATGGCTTTTCTTTCTCTCCAGAACCTCTTTTACATTAAGGTAATGCTGTGTTTCCTCTGTGTGGTGGTGCTTGTTATATTCTGATGAAGTTAATTCTAAGAAATGTTGGTCTTTTCTGGCCCTATGTATTGTTATCTTTCCACTGTCTCTACATTTTCTGGAAAATTTTGACAGATGATGACATTGCTAGATGTGTGATTTTGCTTTCTCCTATAGATATTAACACATTATAGAACAGATAAAAATTTTGAAGTTTTGTCTCCTTAATTTCTGGATATGTTAGATACATTACATTCTTCATACACTGGAGCAACCTTATTATAAATTCTGGCCCCCGTGCTTTACCTGACCCCACCAGTGTCTGCTCTGCAGTCTGTGTCCTGCAGTGTCACCCACATGTGAGCTTTGGCTGAAGCAGCACGGCTCTGACCTTGTAGTTTTCACTACACAGACTTTAAATAGACTGCAGTGTATCTTGTGCTGTGGAAGGGTTCATTACTCCCAACTGAAGCTTCACATGGTGCAGGATTATCAGGGAGGAGCCCAAAGAACTTAGAATTATTGAGGAAAAGCAATGAGCCCTAAGCACGGCATATGTCTTTGTTTTGGTTTTGATGTTTTGGTCGTGGTTTGTTATTTTTATTTTTTTCTGTCCATGGAGACCAAGTACCCCTGTTTGGCACTTTGAATATGCTTTGCCTTGTAGGTTTTGTTATTCTTCTTCAGTTTTCTTTAACAACAAGGATAGCAGCAGTGCTATTTTTGGAGAAATGAAGGACCAGTGGGGATTTTTGCTCTTCTTGCAACCGTTTTTATATACATGAAGACTTCACAAACCACAAATACAAGTATATTTATCTGTCTGTCTATCTATCTATCTATCTATCTATCTATCTATCTATCTATCTATCTATCTATCTTTGTTTATTTAACATGGCAGGAGACTTTTGTCTTAAATCCATTGCAGCAATCAGGCTACAGATTGTTGTTGATGTTTGTCCTACAGTAAGTTTTATTTAGAAGCCTTTTTAAACTGTCTTATAAATGTTTCTGGTAGTACCGGTGTAGGAAATGTGTCTGGTAAAAACTGTTCTTCATCAGTTAGATATTTTAATTGTTTTCAAACAAAAGACAACACAATTCAATGCCAGCAGAATTGGACTGTAGTTTGAACTTGAACAGTAGTACATACAAATCTGAAAATGTATTCAGAATAATTAACCTTATAAACCCCACCAAACATTTCATGATAGCAGGAACAGTCCTAGAAAGGACAGTCCTGCTCGCTTTTTACCTCCAAATTACCTGATTTCCCTTCTTATTTCTCTTCCTGTTATTTTACTTAACTGAGTTGGCTTCTGCTTCAGGAACTTTTTCTGTTTTGTTATTACCTTTGTTTTTTTTTCTAAGATGATCCTACGGAGGTCGTATCTGTCATGTCAAGATATCAGCCTTTACAGTTGGTTCATTTGAGCTTTCTCCACTTCCTGTGCATCTGCACTCTGCACATTTAAGCTTGCTTGCAATCCTGTATAATTTTCTAAACCCAACTCCAAATAAAATGAAATTTCCTAGAACCAACATCCTGAATTTTGTTCATTCTCTGGTGCTGTTTGTATACCACCCCAGACGTTTTTCAGTGTATCTTATTTGTTGGCAACAAATGACAGCACAACAAAAACACTAAAATTAATACCTTTTGGGGAAGGAAGAATGTAGGTGTTTGTTGTCAATGCTTCCTGCCTTTAATGGGTTTTTAAAGACCAGCTGAAGCTAAATATATGGTTGGCAATAAATCAGTCATTAAGTAATGGTAATTAAGAATGAATGAATGCAAAACAAAAAGTTGTAACTAGGAAGAATGGAAAGAAACACAGACTGAATGTCAGGAAAAACATCCCTAGAATGACATCTGTTAGACCATGGCACAGCCTTCCCAGGAAGAAGGTGGGATCCCCTTCACTGGGATTGTTTATATCCTGACTGTACGGATTGCCAGGAATTTACTGTACAAAATGGTCTTGTATTGGCCCTGAGGAAATGGACTGAATGACCTAATGAGTTTTTTCTTTCCACTTCTAAGCATTAAGATTTGATGCCACAGTGACTAATCCCTTAAAACAACGCAGAGGGAAGCAGTAAACCTGGCCAATTACTCTGCTGCTATAAATGGTGACAAGAAGGCTGGAAAATCTCCCAGATAAAAACAGCAATTGTGTTGTCTTAGCAGCCTTGCAATGAGAGTGGGTGTCAAACTCAGTTGTAACACATAATCACATCATGGAAATGAGCTTTTCTCACAGTTACCATGCACCAGTGCTTTGTGACAGCTTATCAACAAGGAAAGGAAGCTACAAATAGTATAAAAGGAGGTAATAATAATTAAAGGAATGGCAAACAGCACAGTAATGCTGGTATAGACATGACCAGCACTTGCCCTAGAGAGCTCTGTATCTATAGCCCCCTGTAGCTGTGGCTGTTGAGGTAATGGCATTTTGCTCTGTGTTGATTACTGGGGTATTAGGAACCTCACTGAATGTGTTGTCCACAGCTTAAAATATTTAGTATATATTTATTGCTACCAATATGGACTTAATTTGAACAAATAAACTGGCAGGACGAGTAATTTACACCTTGAAGTCATCAAGTCCAACAACTTTTAATAGGTTAAATATAATTTCATTCTTCAAATTAATTCGGGTAGTTTCTCTGAGAGTAAGGGTGGAGTTCTATGTGAGATTGTGGGGATGGAGAGAACCAGTTTTATTTGGTCTCTGTCATCTACCAAAACTCAGCTTACTAACTGGGAAACAAATATAATGACATGTTGCTTGTTTGCATAATCAGGAGCTGGGAGTCTCTGCTCCGCAGACTTATCCTGAAACTAGCCCAGACCTTTTACAGAGA